TTTTTAATTCTTATAGAGCAGGGTCAGGATATTTTGTTAAATCTCACTGAAAATCTTGCCAGCCCACCCCCTCCCATAAATAATGAATGCTTCCTTAGTTGATCCAAATCCAAATCTCTCTACTAACATCATACATATTTCATAGAAGGCCGTAAGGAGAATTACTTTTGCGATCTTGGGAGTGAAAGGGTTAAGTCAGTTTCAAAATTATCGATATGGACTGTTTTCATATTGAGAGGCATGATTATTATTGAAAGATGATGTTATTCAGTGAATGACAAATACATAGTAGGAGAAATAGAGGATACATGCGGAGATGACGAAATTTCTCTTCAAGTGTTGAAAAATATTCCACAAGTGAATGAAACAAAAAAGTGTGTGTTTTTTTTTAACACAAGAAGAGAAAATTCGTTTGTTCAAGGGGTCATGTTATCTATTTAATATATAAACACCAAATTGTTTCACTTTTGCTTGGCCGATGGGTACAATTTATCATGTAACCTTAGTAACAGTGTTATTTTCATGTTTGAAGGTAACATCATTTTCAGGTGTGTACATATCATTGGGGATTTTATCGGTGTTTATGTAATAAAAAGAACTCTGAGTGCTTCCAATAGGATTCGACCCCGCATACTTCTGATCAGTACGCACCATCTTCAGTTACATGATTATTATTCTTTTTTATGCATTCAAGTGAGCCTTATTGGGATCACTTTTGGAATAAAATATTGATTTCATGTTTTGCTGAACTGGGCTACCCTGTATAAATATTTGCATACGCACTTACATACATACATACATTCATAGGATAATTCACAAGCATAGAAAAGGATATCGGTTAGGCCTTAACCATATAGAGGCAGCCCATAAACAGATAATTTGTTGTAAGTGTGCAACTCTTGCTTTTAACAAAGTAATGTTGATAAAAATTACCAATAAGTGACAATGGCATTGACGATGATAATAATAATGACGGAGACAATTATTGTGATTATGATTGCAATAAAGACTGTTTAGGCAGAAAAAATAGTGACTTACATTAAGGATTGTAGTAATGATAATTTCTTAATAAAGTAATAATGAATAATGAGAAAAAAAGAACTGAAAACGAATTTAAAAATCAATTCTAAAAAATTAATTAAAAAAAAAGGAAAAAAGAAAGAATGAGAGAAGACAGTGAAGATTTAAAATACTTTCATAAATTGTGAAAAATACATAGTAAGGGCCTGTCCGGGAGTCGAAACCGGGACCTCTCGCACCCAAAGCGAGAATCATGCCACTAGACCAACAGGCCGCACCTGAAGCAAGATGGGAAAATGTTAAATATAAATCCTTTGAAATCAGGAAAGATCCAGAAGACTGATGTAAAAATAGTAAAAATAGTTCTTTGTTGATGCAAGTGAACTCCGAATGAGAAGGAAACATGCACTTTTCCTGTTCCTTTCCCCGTGGCGAATGGATTAAACTAAACTATTTCTAATGTGTTGATACTCTAGCCAAAAATAGGAAACAAAACCGAAAAAAAGGCCGAGGAACGTACTATGCGGTGGGTTATATATGGATTCTGAAAGAGTTATTTAGTTGTACTTTTAAAGATATCTATTGAGGCTACTTGGTCAACTGACGTTTAAACTGGCGAGGCGCCGACCTCGTGAGTCACTCATTCACAATACCAGTAGAGTGTCTTTAATATGTGCACCACTCCCTTTCCCTGCGAACATAAATGTCAAGCGAATGTTCACGCGAACATTCGCTGATCGAACTCAAAAGACCTTCAGACTTTTGATTTATTTCGAGTGCCTGTGGTAATTGATGAATAAACTGCTATACTTCTCAACGTCCGCTAACGTGGTACGATTCGAATTTTATCGAATTTTTTATTACATATCTTCCTTTGATCTAAGGAGTAGAGGTCAATCAAACTTCTTCACGATCCTTCACACCTGGAATTCGACGCACTGAAGAGTTACTAGGATGTATTGATGGTACGCCCAAGATGCCACGAAGAACACGGTCTTGGTCTTAATTTTAGTTGCGTGACAAGGAGTACGTTACTATTTTAAATCGAGAAATTACAGAATAGAGTCAAAATATCAGCGTTTAAGAGTGAAAATAGCACCGTTGAAATATGCAATTGCCGCTTTTTCTTTTTTACAAAGAAAACTAGATATTCTAAGGAAGCATACTTGTACTGAGTAAAATTTTAAAAGCGAAAGGAGTGTGCGGCTTAAGATGAAACCCAAGTTCCAAGCCGAATACCTCAGTCTCATACCCAGACCTTCCACGGTCAACATTTTAGTCACAGTTAAACTGAGAGAAAACTGGGTACGAGATTAGAAATATCTAATTGAGATGAATAGAATAATGGATTGTCGAACACAAGGAAATAACCTGACGACTTTATTTATATCACTTTAAATCTGTAAGTCACAATTTAACTGATTTAAGCATAGTATAAGTCACAAAGATAAAAATAATTGTTAATATACAATCTTTTCCCCATATTTATGGTGTCTCGGCCTGTTGGTCTAGTGGTATGATTCTCGCTTCGGGTGCGAGAGGTCCCGGGTTCGACTCCCGGACAGGCCCATATCAAATGATTTGACTTTTCGAGATCTACGCTATTATCTTCCATTTTTTTAATGTATGTATGTAGATGTATATGTTGTAGTTCAATTTTATCCTTGGTTCAAATTTTATTTTCCTTTGTTTCAAACTCATCATCATACATTAACATGACCGAGAATAAAGGAAAATAAAATTTGAACCAAGTATAAAATTGAACTACAGCATCTACATGTGTGTGTGTGTGTGTAAAAAAGAAAAACATTATTAGCCTGAAACTGATTTTCATTGGAGCTTTATACGGGCTTACTTGGCTCGTTGAGAAGTAATTAGCATCTCCGTATTGCCAAAGAGGTAAAATCGCGCTTCAAGAGTGGGCTGACTCAACTTGAAGCAGAAAATTTTTTCATGACTGTAATGAAAGCATCTTCAAACCTGGGATAGACTTTTTTAAGCAAAAACAATTTTTTTTGAAATCTTAAGTATGATATAGAAGTTGTGAAATAAACGTTTTGTTTTTACTGTAGTGCTGTTCCCTTAACGGAGGTTCTCTTTCCAGTATTATTGCTGGAGGCAGTACTGAGTAATTTGTTCTGCCAACAGATATTTAGCAATTATTCCACTCGCGCTTGTTGGATATGAGATGATAGATAGCCAACGAAGTGCATAGCGCCGAGTTGGCTATAATCATCTCATATCCAACAAGCGCGACTGGAATAATTGTTTTACTAAAAACGTTAAATTAAATTATTAAATTTTATTANAGCATATTCTTCTCAATTAATTTTAAGATCCCGAGTGTTGGTCCGGCCGGTATTGAACTCTCGACCTCCCGCACAGCAGTCCGGCGCTCTCCCAATTGAGCTAACCAGGTTGTGGTTGATAAGTCAATGGTGTTCAGCAATGTGCCTGCTGACATCACCTTTCCTCGTCGCCCGTCTGTGTTCAGTCAGTCTTGTTGTGAGGTTTCTGCCAGTCTCACTGATGTAGCAGGCTTGGCAGTCGGAGCAATTGATCTTATAAATCCTTCCCTGTTTGTTCCTCGGTTCGTCTTTGTCTTCAACGTTGCATTTTTAAGGTGCTGACAGAGAGAATTTGTTCAACAATTAATTGCTTCTTTAATCGGTGGTCATTTCCTTTATTCTTGAGACCTTTTATGTTTGATCTGGGGGTGATATTGTAAGGAGAAATTAGATACCAGTCACTTTCAGGGGTCCAAGAGTTAACTCCTAGAACTGATTAACATGCTGCTCCTCCTTATTTAATCACTTGATGACCTGGGAATAAGTCAGTAACGAGATATTGATGGAAAACAAACTCAAAAGGTCAGACAATTCCATGAGGCTTGGTTAGGAGAGGCCATGATATAGAGTGCTGGTAGTTGGGTCCCCTGGGATTGGGAGTCGGTCATCCTTTCTCCCTTCTTTATAATCTTAATTAGGTTCCTTTTCAGTTACTTTCTGCCATAGTTTCATAGTTATGTTTTGGCGTAAGATTCTTCTTTCAGCAACTTGGACTTGGTTTTTACATCAAGACTGGATCAACTGCACACACACTTCAGGACTACAACTGCTCTTAAACCATGGACATGGGGGTGTCCATTAGCCAGTTTGGCTGGTAAACAAACTGAAATTGGCTAATAAGTTAAAAAGTTAGAGTTGAGTCCTGACTGTGGGGTTTCATTTTAGACTGAAAAGACCCATTTAGTTATTCTATGCCAACTAGGTATTAATTTCATCTTATTTGCCCTGCCCCCTATTAGTTTCTTACAAAGGTATTACGAACTACCTGGGGTTACACAGCTTACTTTTTCCAAACTAATGGTGGCCAACTAGAAAGCCTTTGCTACTTTGGCCACCACACACATTTTTATAATCTGTACTTTATTTATTTTATTCTGTAATCATTTGTTGCAACTTTACTTTTCTATCTAAGTTAATTTCATGTAAATAGTCTGAAATAAATGAACCAATGAACCAATGAACCAAACCTAACCTCGGCAGATATAAAGTATCTTGAGTCGTTTGTAATGAAATGTATAGTCACCTTCAATGTGAAGGAAACAACAAAGTACATCTTTCTAAAGAAAGTAAAACACTAGAAAGGAAAGACTGACAGATAAAAAATGTCTGTGTCATAAATTAAAGCGATGCACGCCGCGGTCAAACAACAGTTCCCAACACATGCGCGAACTTGTTATTTGCGGATCCTTTAAGATGCTTTATGAGACGTTTTTCCCAGCCTTCTCTATCCACACTGTCGGAATAGTTAAGAAACGTTCTCGCTCGTAATGGCTTCGGTAATGTTTTGGGATTTATCGATTCAAGACCGATCAATATTACTGAGTAATCACTGCAGTGAAAACTCTTCTGTAAGGCGTAGTCGAGCTCTTGCTTGCAGAATTTGCTGGCTGCATAACTTCGCGACCACACTGCCAACACGTAACGGCTTTGGTACACACTATCGGTGATGGAATTTAAAATGGGATGGCCAAGTTTAAAATGCAACTTGTCGATGCAATACTTGACATGGTTTTTACTCAACAAGCTCAGTAGCTCGCTATTCACCCAGTCAGAGTCTCTCCGGCTGTAGGTGACAAAGACGTCATATTTGAAGATTAGTTCTTCATCCGGACAAGGTTTTACTATGAAGAGAAAAGTTTTTAGATTAACTGTTAACAAATTTTAAGTCT